TTGCTATGCTGTATTTGCAGAAAAATACATACATAACATACATAAACACTCACGCCTGTCACCCAGAGGGGTAGGCAGAGACTATGGACTTCCATTTGGCACGATCCTGACACACCTCTCTCGCTTCCTCCATATCCATATACCTACGCATAGACGCTCGTTGGTTAAAGGTACTCTTGATTTGGCCCATTTTCAATATATCGCTAATTTGGTCGATAAACTTTCGCCTCGGGCGACCGTTCTCGACTCTGCCGTTCACCTCTGCAACGTAAATTTGCTTTGTCACTCTTTCCTCATTCATTCTTTCTACATGACCAAACCACCGAAGCATTCCTTTCTTAAACCTGGTCACAACATCATCTTGCAAACTGCACTTTTCTTTTATTAAACAATTTCTCACTCTGTCATTCAGATTCATCCCTAACATACTCCTTAATGACCGCATTTCTACAGCATTTATTCTACTCTCGTGCTTCTTCTGCCACATCCAACTTTCACTACTATACATTAAAGTAGGTACTAACACAGCATTATGAATTGCCATACGTGCCTTAGTTGACACATTCTGACTCCTCATAATAGCGTGTAGAGCCCCATTCACTCTATTTCCTGCATTCACTCGTCGTTCTATATCCTTAACACTACGATCCCTGCTAAACACACATCCCAAATACACAAACTCATCTACTTGCTCTACCAACTCCCCTTCTATTCTTATTTCACATTATTTCTTCTCTTTCAAAAACCATAACTTTCGTCTTACTTGCGTTCACTTTCATTTCCTTTTCTTTTAATGTCCTGTTCATTAATGTAACCATTATTTGCAACTCGGCTGCCGACGACGCAAGCATGACTCATCGGCGTACACAAGGCATTTAACGGTTAACTTACCCATTCTTAACCCGCATTCTTCTACTTTCAAATTTTGCAAACAACTTGACGGTGGTAGAGCCACGCAGTAGTTTTTGCTGTTGCACGTATGGGCCGGCTCGAGCCGGGTTGGTACCACAACCTCACAGAATACCGGCGAGAAGTAGAGGCTCTGCTTCTGCGTTTCGTCTGGTGAGTGCAGGTGGCCGGAGGCCCAATTCACCCCACCCCCCCATCAACATGGTAGCGGAATTACACGATAAACTACCCCAGGAGGGTACCAGTACCCCTGGAGAATCCCTCGCTGAGCATCCACGACCATGTTATTCCAATCCTGAGCGTGGGTGCTCAGGCTACCCCGCGTATTCTGGGGGGGGGGGGGGGGGCAAAATTTCGCTCTACAACATACAACATACAACTGCTCGGGGCAAACTGAGCAACGATACCAAGGCGACCCCTGCCACGCTATCCGTGAATTTCTGCAACATCAGGGGACTTCACTCTAACCTAAACGCTGTCCACTACCATCTCGAGACGGCGAAGCCGGCCTTGCTCTTTCTGACCGAGACGCAGGTTTCCTCTCCGGCTGATATTTCGTATCTCTCCTACCCGGGGTACAAATTGGAGCACTCCCTTGTGCCTCGCTGGAGTTTGCGTGTATGTCAGAGAGGACATCTGTTCTCGACGCCTCGGTAGTCTTGAAGGTTTGAACCTGTCCATCCTTTGCCTACGCGTAGACAGCGACGACCATCCGCGCATCTACGGGTGCCTCTATAGGTCCCATAGCGGTAATGCCGAAACAGACCGACTCATCGACCACGTCCAAATGGTTACAGATTCCTTGCTACAACAGGTCCCATTCGCAGAGATCGTGATCCTTGGCGATTTTAACGCCCACCATGCCGAATGGCTCGGTTCACGTTTAACCAATCATGCGGGGAATCATCAGTTCATGACTTTGCTTTGGCATATGGTCTTACACAACTGGTTACTTCGCCTACGCGGATTCCAGATGTGGAGGATCATACACCTTCCTTGTTGGACCTTCTGCTGACCTCTCATCCGGACGGATATCAGGTTTCCGTCGATGCCCCTTTCGGCTCTTCGGACCATTGTCTGATCCAGAGTGTGGTTCCACTCACGCTCCCTTCGCGGTTGCCGCCGTGTTTGGAATTACAGGTCGGCATTTGACATTGGGACGGAATGCGGTCTTTCTTTGCATCCTACCCATAGGGGCGGGTTTGTTTCTCACCGGATGATCCCAGCGCTGTTGCTAACTCTGTTGCTGATGTGGTGCTACAGGGAATGGAACTATTTATTCCATCATCTGTGGTACCCATCGGAGGCAGATCTCAGCCTTGGTTTGGTCGCTCCTGTAAGACTGCTTTACGCAGTAAGCAGGAGTGTTATCAAGCCTGAGCTGCGGCTTCGGCGACTCGGGATGTAAACACCAGCACACTTAAAAAGAAGTATAACTTCGCCTCCAGGTCCTTCAAAAGAGTTATTACCAAGGCAAAGTCAGAGCACATAGGCAGAATTGGCGAGAAACTAGTTCGCCTTCCTTCGGCATTCTGGTCTCTCACCAAGACTGTCCAAGGGAATTTCTGTAAGCCATCACTACCATCTTTGCACAGGGAGGACGACTCACTGGCCCAAGACGCAAAAGACAAAGCTGACCTTTTAGGCTCCCTTTTTGCGTCCAACTCGACTCTTGATGACGGGGGGAAAACACCGCCGACCATCCTGCGGTGTGAGTGCTCCATGCCGGATGTGCTGTTCTCACAGCGCTCGGTTCGCAAAGCACTTCTCTCCCTGGACATCCAGAAGTCGAGTGGGCCTGACGGAATCCCCCCAATTGTGCTGAGGACGTGTGCTCCGGAGTTGGCACCGGTCCTAACGCGTCCTTTCCGGTACTCCTACTCCCAAGGCGTAGTCCCGAATTTATGGAAGACAGCTTTTGTCCACCCGATCACTAAAAAAGGCGACCACTCAGACCCGTCCAAATACAGGCCTATCGCCATCACCTCCTTGTTCTCCAAAATAATGGAATCCATTATTAACTGCCAGCTTATCCGGTACCTTTAGGATCACCAGCTGATTAGTGACCGCCAATACGGTTTTCGTCGGAGTCGATCAGCTGGTGATCTACTGGTCTACCTGACCCATAGATGGGAGGAGGCAGTAGAGTCCAAGGGGGAGGCGTTGGCCGTTAGTCTGGACATTGCGAAGGCCTTCGATCGGGTTTGGCACAAAGCGCTTCTTTCGAAGCTCCCTTCCTATGGGCTTCCCGAGAAATTGTGCAATTGGATCACCAGCTTCCTTGCAGAACGGAGCATTAAGGTCGTTGTAGACGGTGCATGTTCTGACTACAAGCCTATTAACGCTGATGTTCCACAAGGCTGTGTGCTATCACCAACGCTTTTTCTTCTGCATATCAATGATATGTTGCTAACTGGTAACATTCATTGCTATGCGGATGACAGCACTGGTGATGCTCTATACACCGGCCGTGCCAATATTTCTCGGGAAAACGTCGCCGAGTACCGGAACAAACTTGTGTCTGAAGTCGAGTCTTTGCTGAACAAAGTCTCGGATTGGGGGCGACTAAATCTAGTCCAGTTTAATCCTCAGAAGACACAAGTTTGCGCGTTTACCGCTAAAAAGAACCCCTTTGTCGTATCTCCTCAGTTTCAAGGCACTCCCCTTCTTGCCTCAGCCAGTATCGGTATCCTCGTAGTCTACATATCAAGTGACGTGCAGTTTCGTAGTCACTTGGAAGAGAAGGCCAAATTGGTCTCTAAAAAGCTTGGCGTGCTCAGCAGAGCGGGACAGTATTTCATGCCGGCACACCGCCTGCAACTTTACAAGGCGCAGGTTTGGCCTCACATGGAATACTGTTCCCGTCTCTGGGCAGGGGCTCCCCAGTGCCAGCTCCTTCCACTTGACCGCATCCAGCGCAGAGCGGCTCGAATCGTCGACGACCGAGCCCTTTCCGATCGGCTTGATTCATTGGCACTGCGAAGAGATGTTGCATCCCTTTGCATTTTCTTTCGCATCTACCATGGGGAGTGCTCTGAGGAATTGTTCGGATTAATCCCAGCCGCCAAATTTCACGAACGCACATCGCGGCAGAACTCCCGATACCATCCACACCATCTAGATGATTGGCGGTCCACCACTGTGCGATTTAGAAGATGTTTTCTTCCTCGCACGACTTCCTTGTGGAATCGATTTCCATCAGCGATTTTTCCGGACCGATACGACTTAGGGACCTTCAAGAAAAGAGCGTACTCCTTTTTAAAAGGCCGGCAACGCATCTGCAATTCCCTCCCTGGTGTTGCAGTTGTTCATAGGCGGCGGTAGTCACCATCAGGTGAGCCCCATGCTCGTTTGCTATAAAAAAAACTGTCCATAAATAGGTTGAACAGCCACGAGGAAGTCACACAGCCCTGTCTAACACATCTATGGATGCCAAACCAGTCCGAGTAGGCCCCGTTGATCCTGAAACAAGCATTAGAGTCCCTATACAGAGACTTCAATGCCTTTATCAACCCAGCACTCAACCCAAATGAGTTCAGTCTTTGCCATAACACATCCCTGTCCACTCTGCCATAAGCCTTCTCCAAGTCCATGAACGCACAAAAAACTTTTTGGTTTTTGGCCAAAAACTTCTCCGCGATCATGCGCATGGAAAAGACCTGATCCGTACATCCCATTACCTTTCTAAATCCCTCTTGCCCATCCCAAATTTTACCATCAGTTTCTAATAAAATGCAAAAAAATAAAAAATTTAAATAAAAATTAAAATATTCTAATATTTTTCTGCAAACACCATTTAAACCATAAGCAATTAAAGAGTTATCATAATTTTTATCATCCTAATCATCACCGGTGCTTGTGCCTACTGTGCATGACATACTGTCTAAGATTGAGCGTAGAGACGATACTATCGCACTTGTAACGCGTGTAAGATGAATTTCGCGTAATCAGCAAATAGCGTGATATTCCCTATACGTATGTTGTCATCAAATTTATAAAATTTTATATTTATCCACTTATTCTTTCCTATGTCTCAACTGGTTTGAAATCCATGGTTATTGAAATTAATTGTATCTGGTTGGTCCTCGTAGAGACGTGCGGCCCGGGATGGCGTCTGTGGGTGACGCGTGGGATACTGGGGGCGCTGGGCGCAGGGGAAGCGGCGGTGTGCGCGGGGCGGGGGCGGGCGGGGGTGGGGGCGGGGGAGTGCGGCGCGCTGGCCGCCGCCGCGCGCGCGCTGCGCACGCCGCAGCCGTCCGCCTGCGCCGCGGCGGCCGCCCGCGCGGCTGCTGTAGCCTTGCTTGCCACTCGCTTGCACTGGCGCAGAGTGCTCCTTCCGCCGAGTGCGCAAGGCGGCGAGTGCGCGACCGCAATGCTGGCAGTGGCTCTCGAGTTAACAGCAGCAGGCCTGCTCGTTAGCCGAGCACCACTCTCGCATTATAAGCATGATCATCATTCACACGGTAAGCGTTGACTGTTGTTTTTAATATGAGTATATTACGAGTCTTAATATGAAATGGAAAAGACAAAAATCATATCTAACGACCACGTTACTCCTGTATCGGTAGTAGCTGGGAACACTACAGTCAAAGTAGTTGACGAGTATTTATCATTATCTCTGTCTACCACTGAACATGAGGGTTACATTATCCACCCATATATTCTATACATAGGGGCTATTTTTGCCACTATCACTACGATTGGCACACGGGTTTGCAAACGCAAAGTTTTTTATATTATTTTGAGTGGTAATGCAGGAAGACTGCCAGTCACCTGTTTCATTTCCCATAGTCGCTTGTGACGTAACGGGATGATGAACTCTCTTACGCCACCATCATAGATCATGAATATGCGTCCAATTAAGTGAACACAACTTCGATGAAAAGATATAAAGGACTGCCGACTAATCCAACTTGGCTAGACAGCGTTCGGGAAATTGCGACAAATCTTCTTGTCCGATATATCTCAGAGCCTTAAGACAAAATGTACAACCAAAACAGTATTGTCAGTAAAGCCTTACGAAGTCGAAATACGATGCTTCACTGCTGGCGCTCAAGAGAGCTATGCTCTAATTCGCTGAGTGATAGACTTCGTAATGAGGATCCGCAGAACAACCAGAATAACCGACATAGCTGGACGGATTAGTTAGCTGAAGTGACAATGGGCCGGCGTTATAGGTCGAAGAACCGACAAACAATGGGGAACCTTTCGTTACTGTGTGACAGCCTCGTACTAATAAGCTAAGATTAGGGCGGCCCTACTTTAGATGTCGTGGCGACCTGGCGGGCGGGTTGGCAACGGCAGTTTTTGTAATTTTGAGTTGTTATTAGAACGATGCTGCTGCCCATCTGTTTCAGTTTCCCTTGTCGACTCAAGGATAGTGGCTATTCTTACACCGTGCTCAAGTGATAAAATAACCTAAAAATAAATAACAAAAATAAAGAAAAGCTCTAACTTGTATAATTATTGAGATAGACACAAACAGACTCTAATTGATAGAGAGATATTACTCTTTAAGAGACAGAGTTATTATTATAAAAGTTAAGAGTCAATAATTACAGTCAGAAGTTATTATAAACTTAATGTGAATATTTTTATTTATTTATACTTTATTGCATTGATTAATCTAAAAGAATACGAAGGGCGGACTTAATGCCTTGAGGCATTCTCTACCAGTCAACCCATGGAGTTTTTAGGTGTAGCAATATAGAATAAAAATAAAATAAAAATGATTATTAATTATGTTAAATATACATTTTACTCATATATAAAATAAATAAACTATAGAAATATCTCCAATTTATACATATATTCAAACATATACATACATACATAAACATGCATATATAGATTCAACACACATATATAAATAGTACATATAAATAACTAGGAATATATACGTCTTACAATATAAATGACTAGAACGAATATGTCATTATATTGAAAGGAGTGAACGTTCGTGGTTTGCGGATGTCCTTGCAATTTCTAACAGTATGACTGCGATTAATAGTTGGTAGGATGGTCGATGAATGCAGGTAGCTCAGAACCGTGCTTTGTGACATTCCTTAGAAGAAGCCTATGTTCAGCATTGGACTTGGTAAAGGGGTGTAATGGTGATGACGATGATAAAAAAATAAGATCGTAGAATACTTTTATAAAATCATTCAACCGTTAGCATCACTTTAATAGATTTATAGGTTCAAGGTTGTTTCAATTTTTATTGACTGCCTGACAGTTTTATATAGTCAAACTCATAATATCTTATAATTTCGTCATCTAAGAAGCTGGTTTTTTAATTCATTGATTGTATACAAAGAGATAAACGAGCCTGGTAGAGTGTTACAATCAGTGACAATTCCTTGTATAATTAACTTAGTATCAATCGTTACTTTGTTGGTTTTTAATACATTGAAGATATTAAAGTTACTTAGCTAAGTTCCGCGTAATATAATAAAAAGATGTGTCTTACCGAGTTTGAAGATTAGCTCTCGCCCTTCTCAATTACGTGCACTATTCCTATCACCACTACCCCCAACACCACAACATAAGGAAAGACACAACACCGTCGATAATACAGTGGTAATAATACAATTCTACAGTGGCAGACCGCTCTTCAACTAGGTAAGACTAGACAGACTAGGTAGTTATAACGGTGGTAGAGAAAAATTACACGAAGAACTACCCCAGGAGGGTACCAGCACCCCTGGAGAATCCCTCGCTGAGCATCCACGACCATGTTATTCCGATCCTGAGCGTGGGTGCTCAGGCTGCCCCGCGTATTCTGGGGGGGGGGCAAAATTCCGCTCAAAAGCATTACTGCTAGGGGCAAACTGAGCAAGAACACCAAGGCGACCCCTCCCACGCTATCCGTGAATTTCTGCAACATCAGGGGACTTCACTCTAACCTAAACGCCGTCCACTACTATCTCGAGACGGCGAAGCCGGCCTTGCTCTTTCTGACCGAGACGCAGGTTTCCTCTCCGGCTGATATTTCGTATCTCTCCTACCCGGGGTACAAATTGGAGCATTCCTTTGTGCCTCGGGCTGGAGTTTGCGTGTATGTCAGAGAGGACATCTGTTCTCGACGCCTCGGCAGTCTTGAAGGTTCGGACCTGTCCATCCTTTGGCTACGCGTATACAGCGACGACCATCCGCGCGTCTACGGGTGCCTCTATAGGTCCCATAGCGGTAATGCCGAAACAGACCGACTCATCGACCACGTCCAAATGGCTACAGATTCCTTGCAACAACAGGTCCCATTCGCAGAGATCGTGATCCTTGGCGATTTTAACGCCCACCATGCCGAATGGCTCGGTTCACGTTTAACCAATCATGCGGGGAGATCAGTTTATGACTTTGCCTTGGCATATGGTCTGACACAACTGGTTACTTCGCCTACGCGGATTCCAGATGTGGAGGATCATACACCTTCCCTGTTGGACCTTCTGCTGACCTCTCATCCGGACGGATATCTGGTTTCCGTCGATGCCCCTCTCGGCTCTTCGGACCATTGTCTGATCCGGAGTGTGGTGCCACTCACGCTCCCTTCGCGGTTGCGTTCTGCAGGTTGCCGCCGTGTTTGGCATTACAGGTCGGCGAATTGGGACGGAATGCGGTCCTTCTTTGCATCCTACCCATGGGGACGGGTTTGCTTCTCGCCGGATGATCCCAGCGCTGTTGCTGACTCTGTCACTGATGTGGTGCTACAGGGAATGGAACTATTTATTCCATCATCTGTGGTACCCATCGGAGGCAGATCTCAGCCTTGGTTTGGTCGCTCCTGTAAGACTGCATTACGCAGTAAGCAGGAGTTTTATCAAGCCTGGGCTGCGGCTTCGGCGACTCGGGATGTAAATACCAGCACACTTAAAAAGAAGTATAACTTCGCCACCAGGTCCTTCAAAAGAGTTATTGCCAAGGCAAAGTCAGAGCACATAGGCAGAATTGGCGAGAAACTAGTTCGCCTTCCTTCGGGAACCCGTGCATTCTGGTCTCTCGCCAAGGCTGTCCAAGGGAATTTCTGTAAGCCATCACTACCATCTCTGCACAGGGAGGATGACTCACTGGCCCATGACGCAAAAGACAAAGCCGACCTTTTAGGCTCCCTTTTAGCGTCCAACTCGACTCTTGATGACGGGGGGAAAACACCGCCGACCATCCCGCGGTGTGAGTGCTCCATGCCGGATGTGCTGTTCTCACAGCGCTCGGTTCGCAAAGCACTGCTCTCCCTGGACATCCAGAAGTCGAGTGGGCCTGACGGAATCCCCCCAATTGTGCTGAGGACGTGTGCTCCGGAGTTGGCACCGGTCCTAACGCGTCTTTTCCGGTACTCCTACTCCCAAGGCGTAGTCCCGAATTCATGGAAGACAGCTTTTGTCCACCCGATCCCTAAAAAAGGCGACCGCTCAGACCCATCCAACTATAGGCCTATCGCGATCACCTCCTTGTTCTCCAAAATAATGGAATCCATTATTAACTGCCAGCTCATCCGGTACCTTGAGGATCACCAGCTGATTAGTGACCGCCAATACGGTTTTCGTCGGGGTCGATCAGCTGGTGATCTTCTGGTCTACCTGACCCATAGATTGGCGGAGGCAGTAGAGTCCAAGGGGGAGGCGTTGGCCGTTAGTCTGGACATTGCGAAGGCCTTCGATCGGGTTTGGTACAAAGCGCTTCTTTCGAAGCTCCCTTCCTATGGGCTTCCCGAGAAATTGTGCAATTGGATCACCAGCTTCCTTGTAGATCGGAGCATCAAGGTCGTTGTAGACGGTGCATGCTCTGACTACAAGCCTATTAACGCTGGTGTTCCACAAGGCTGTGTGCTATCACCAACGCTGTTTCTTCTGCATATCAATGATATGTTGCTAACTGGTAACATTCATTGTTATGCGGATGACAGCACTGGTGATGCTCTATACACCGGCCGTGGCAATATTTCTCGGGAAAACGTCGCTGAGTACCGGAACAAACTTGTGCCTGAAGTCGAGTCTTTGCTGAACAAAGTCTCGGATTGGGGGCGACTAAATCTAGTCCAATTTAATCCTCAGAAGACACAAGTTTGCGCGTTTACCGCTAAAAAGAACCCCTTTGTCGTATCTCTTCAGTTTCAAGGCACTCCCCTTCTTGCCTCAGCCAGTATCGGTATCCTCGGATTCGACATATCGAGTGACGTGCAGTTTCGTGGTCACTTGGAAGGGAAGGCCAAATTGGCCTCTAAAAAGCTTGGCGTGCTCAGCAGAGCGGGACAGTATTTCATGCCGGCACATCGCCTGCTACTTTACAAGGCGCAAGTTCGGCCTCACATGGAATACTGTTCCCATCTCTGGGCAGGGGCTCCCCAGTGCCAGCTCCTTCCACTTGACCGCATCCAACGCAGAGCGGCTCGAATTGTCGACGACCGAGCCCTTTCCGATCGGCTCGATTCATTGGCACTGCAAAGAGATGTTGCATCCCTTTGCATTTTCTTTCGCATCTACCATGGGGAGTGCTCTGAGGAATTGTTCGGATTAATCCCAGCCGCCAAATTTCACGAACGCACATCGCGGCAGAACTCCCGATACCATCCACACCATCTGGATGATTGGCGGTCCACCACTGTGCGATTTAGAAGATGTTTTCTTCCTCGCACGACCTCCTTGTGGAATCAATTACCATCAGCGATTTTTCCGGACCGATACGACTTAGGGACCTTCAAGAAAAGAGCGTACTCCTTTTTAAAAGGCCGGCAACGCATCTGCGATTCCCCTGGTGTTGCAGTTGTTCATGGGCGGCGGTAGTCACTTACCATCAGGTGAGCCGCATGCTCGTTTGCCCCCTCTCCTATAAAAAAAAAGACACATCATTTTATTTTAAATTATTTTTAACATCTTTAATTTAAACCCTAATTTTTAACTTACAGCTGTGATTTTGTGCTCTTCGAACGTGGATTCCTTGCGCTGGCTACACGGCGGAGCAAGCGCGCCGGCGGTACTCCTCCTGCATCTCGCGCTCGACGATGACCTTACTGTGATACATGACGCACATGTTCCCTTAGATATAAGGAACCAAAACTCTGTGTCAACTTTAGAATTAGTACATACGGCCGTCGGTCAGTTACCTCATTTTGAGAATTTAAGCAATAATATTTACACTTCGTCTCCAGTAACAGAAAGCACTATTGATCAATATTACGAAAGGGATAAACTTGACTCTTTACAAAAAACGAAAGCAATAATTAAGAGAAATAAAATAAATTCCAGCCTGTATCATAACTTTAAGAAAAGCAATGGAAAAGGTGTAATAGAAAAAAAATCGCGTTTATTTTTAGTTCGCCGCAGACGCCAATCGTCAGGCAGTCGTCGCTTGCGACGAAGCGTCAACTCTGAATGGTTAAACAACGCTAATGGAGTTCGTCCGCTGATTCTCAGCGACGTCAGCCTAGAATTCGAATCCAAAACGTACTCACCGAATACCATATATGACGAAGTACTAGACGCCGTCGAGCGATATGTGGAAGCGGCAAAGACAAGAATCGAAATCTCCCGACAGACATACTTTCTATATGAGAGTGCAACCGATTTGAGAACGTGGACCCCGGTAGTGACGTTAGCTACGAGCTCCGTGCGTTCGCTGGATAGTTTCGAGGATTGGGTGACGGTAGTTAACGTGATAGACCCCGGCGGCAAGTTTGGACGTTGGAGCACGGCGTTGGCAGAACGATCGAACATCGGCTCGGGTGTGGTGGGTGTGGCGAGCGCGTTGGGCGTGTGCGGTACGCTGGCGCTGGTGGTGGGCGGGGCGCTCGCCGCCCGGCGAGCGGTGCGCCGCCAGCGCCCACAAGGTGCCCCAGTGCTGAGCGTGGGAGACTTCGCGTTCCCAGGCGAGGAACTGCGCGTGGGCGACGGCATGCAGAGCATGGTGTCGTGCTGGCTGCAACAGCTGCACGAGTTCGGCGGGCCGCACCCCGCGCACTCGCCGCGCCGCACCTCCGCACCCTCTTCCACGTGCAGCGTCTCCCGGCTGCCGCCCGACCGCCGCACCAGATATAAGGTATTCAATACGCAGCTTAACTATGAGAAACTTATCGTATCTAGCTACTTTTACCTTATCTACATACACTCATGTGGTGGTGCTGTTCTTAGCAAAAATTCGCCATCAGGTAAGCATTCTTACTATAAGCAAACTCCCTCGACAAAAATGACAAAGTAATTTTGCTTCTCTTGGTTGCTTCTACGACCTTTTCAATGTCAATGCCTTCTCCTTCTTCTTAATCGGCAAGTAGCAGTCAACTGCTAAGCATAGATCTCCTCTAATGTAATAAGGATTTGTCATCATCACCATCATTATCATTAGAGTCCTTCACACGTCTACTGCTGAACATAGGCCGCCCCTAAGTAACACTATCAAGCACGGTCTTGAGCCATCTGTATCTATCGACTTCCTATCCACCTATTAGTAGTAGGGCCGCCCCACACTATTTGTTTATCTTTATATATAAAAATTGCGTGTCACGTTGTTTGTCCGCGATGGACTCCTAAACTACTGAACTGATTTCAATGAAATTTCGCACACTGTGTGCATTTTGGTCCAACTTGAGAGATAGATTAATTTTTATCCCGATAAATGACTCTCAATTTTTTTTTTATTGCGAATATAAGGGTTTTCAAAGGAAGGGTCGTTGGAAAGGGCAGAACAACGTCTGCCTGGCGAGCTAGTTATTATATATTTTGTAAATTGAAAATGTTATGTATGTACATAAAAACATAAATAGCTTTGTTAAGAATAAAGACATTCATATTTTAAGCACTAGAAACAAGCATAAGCTTGTAATACCAGTTACCAGACTCCACAGAATAAATGTATACCTACTACCTGATTTTAAAACAAAATCCCAGGAAATTTACATACATGTTTAAACGTTTTATTAAAGAAAAAATATACAAAAAGGGTTATTATAATATCAAAGAATACATAAATGAAATTAACCCCTGGGAATGAGGTGATCGCCATCATGCTGGTTCTATTAAAATTTACTTAAAAATTATACAAAGAAAATTATTGCAAAGTGAAATATGTTTTAAAAAAATGACGGTATATAAAAGGTATTTTCCGAACCTGTGGTAAATAAAAAATAACTTTCAATAAGTATTATATAATAATCTATATTGACAATTTTCTTTTCTATTCTATTCTCTTCTATTCTACTCTATGCTTACCGGTGCGAGGTTCCCACCCGAGATTTTTCTTCTCTTTCGGTGGTCATAATCTTCATGAAAAGATTTTTGGCAATGGGATAGGTGATCGCAGCATCCGATGACTCAACCTTTGACACAACTTTCTGTCGCCGCTTTGGTATTTTACATTTGACGTTCTTGAGATGTTATAACGCTATTTATTGCAGACTATTTGGTGATTCTGGCCTGTCTCTTAATCACACATTTATGAAACCCATGGCACGACTTTGGGTGGTGGACTCTTTTACCTTGCACTCACCAAACAAAATGTATAACTGTAAAATTATAAATGTACGGTCAAGTAATTAATAAATAAATTATTGCGATTTCCAGGGAGATCCGGTACACATGAAGTACCTACCGGTCGCCGGCTCGCTGGAGCTCAAGCGGAAGGCTGTTGACGTCCTTCTCGTAATGCAAGGCCTTCGCCACGAAAACCTCAATCCATTTATAGGTATAATGAAGGGATTAGTAAATAATATGTCCAAATAGAATTAGATTTTTACCGTAACTTTTTTAACTGTTATTGCTTAATGAAACGAAATGTTGCTTGCCAAAAAGCTTACTGCTACTTGCTCGACATTTTAATAAACAGTTATTTATAACATAAATATACCTAGTCAGGTCATGAATTCTGTCACATGTTTAATATAAAATAATTGAAACAAGTTTATTCATTATGTAACCATTTATATAAAAATTTGAATTGGCGCGTAACCGCAACGATGCAACGCAATAACTGCAACACGGTCTTCTTTAAGCGTCCACTCCATATTTAAAAATGAGTAAAATTCTAAAAAGTATACAATTTTATTTTCATGAACAATTCGAAATTCGAATTCAATAAACTTTTTTGTGGCCAGCATTCTAAAAGAAAAGTTTTTACTGTGTGACAATACTTATGACCTGACTAGGTATAACTAAGCTTTATTAAAATATAATACGTTGCATTTTATTCTTTAGTTTTTTGAATTTTATTATTTATAACAAAGCTATATAACTTAGATTTATTAAAATATAATACGTTGAATTTTATTTTTGACGCTTTATCATGCACGTAAAGAAGTAAAAAAACATATTTTGTATTGCATAATTCTCATAATCCTCATTTTTATTTCTTGATATTATACATATAAGATTTGACTTTTAATTACAACAGAATATACTTATACCATTTAATATTATGCGTTTTTGAAGTTTCAAATAAATCGTTTCAATCTATTTTGTGTTTACGATTTTTCATTCCTTTTCCTCTTACTGATTTTTCATTCCTTCAGCACTTCATTGCACTTATCAATTTAGTTTTAAAACCCAAAACATCGTTTAATTTTTTGTGACCTCAACCGTTAATGTTATAATAAAAGGCTAATAGAAAACAAAGTACAGCAAGTAAAGGATAAAGCTTCGATTTGTAAGATTGTAAATGTTTTATCAACTGCCGAACTTTTCTGTAATTGTCTATTCTATATCTAAGCGAAATTAGTAGATATATTAGTAGAATTGGACCTCAGTTTTTTTTATAGGCGAGGGGGTAAATGAGCATGCGGCTCACCTGATGGTAAGTGACTACCGACGCCCATGAAGAACTGCAACACTAGGGGAATTGCAGATGCGTTGCCGGCCTTTTAAAAAGGATTAGGCTCTGTTCTTGAAGGTCCCTAATTCGTATCGGTCCGGAAAAATTGCTGGTGGTAATCGATTCCATAAGAAAGTTGTGCGAGGGAGAAAACTTCTTCTAAATCACACAGTGGTGGACCGCCAATCATCCAGATGGTATGGATGGTATCGCGAGTTTTGTCGCGATGCGCGATGGTGAAATTGAGCGGCTGGAATTAGTACGAACAATTCCTCAGAGCACTCCCCGTGGTAAATGCGATAAAATACGCAAAGAGATGCAACATCCCTACGCAGTGCCAGTGAGTCAAGCCTCTGTCGTTGACGATTTGAATCGCTCTGCGCTGGATGCGATCAAGTGGAAGGAGCTGGCACTGGGGAGCCCCTGCCCAGAGATGGGAACAGTATTCCATGTGAGGCCGAACCTGCGCCTTGTAAAGTTGTAAGCGGTGTGCCAGCATGAAATACTGTCCCGCTCTGCTGAGCACGCCAAGCTTTTTAGAGGCCAATATGGCCTTCTCTTCCAAGTGACCACGAAACTGCACGTCACTCGATATGTCGACACCGAGGATTCCGATACTCGCTGAGGCAACAAGGGGAGTGCCTTGAAACTGAAAAGACATGACAAAGGGGTTCATTTTAGCGGTAAACGCGCAAGCTTGTGTCTTCTGGGGATTGAACTGTACTAGATTTAGTCGACCCCAGTCTGAGATATTATTCAACAAAGTCTCGACTTCAGACACAAGTTTGTTCCGGTACTCGGCGACATTTTCCCGAGAAATATTGGCACGGCCGGTGTATAAAGCATCACCAGTGCTGTCGTCCGCATAGCAACGAATGTTACTGGTTTGCAACATATTATTGATATGCAGAAGAAACAGCATTGGTGATAGCACAAAGCCTTGTGGAACACCAGCGTTAATGGAGTTGTAATCGGAGCATGCACCGTCTACTACGACCTTGATGCTCCGATCTGCAAGAAAACTGGTGATCCAATAGCACAATTTCTCGGGAAGCCCATAGGAAGGCAGCTTTGAAAGAAGTGCTTTATGCCAAACCCGATCGAAGGCCTTCGCTATGTCCAAACGAACGGCCAACGCCTCGCCCTTGGACTCCACTGCCTCCGCCCATCTATTTTTATTTACATTCTCTAAGAGAAGCTTTCAACAACATAAAAGCAGAATATGATAAAAACATACAGCACTTAGGAAATTGTTTAGATGTGCCTTAAAAGTAGCAGGCGAGGAACAGTTAATAAATTTTTTTACTTCGCCCACATGCGGATCGTTATTTTGAAGTATCATTATGATAACTTGTTCCTATAACGGAAACAACTGTACTACTTAACTTGAAATATTATTACATATTACTAATACAGTGATGATTACAATGGAATATTCCGGTTTTGATGATGAAGAAAACCATCCCTTATTGTTAATAGTAGTCAACCGCAGGATATATCGCAGATCGCAGTGATGCTGGTGTAAGTGCAAACAGATTAAAGCCTATTCATATAAAAAAAAATTATGTCTAATCTCGTACTAGTAGGATAAGATCTGAGCATAGCTTGCGTGCAGTGTCATACGGGGAAAAAACATTCCCGAACAAAAAACACGTCCATGTTCTCTAATATTATTGCACCAACCCCATTTTTCTCTTTCCCGCAAACATGGGTGCATCATGGACGTGGATTAATCGAATCTCATATATCTATTATAAGGTATTTATTTTATCAGAGTTAAATTTAGGCGCAAAGAAACAGTTGATGTAGTTATTATAAGTATATTGACATTTTATTATTTATAACAGTGGTAGAGCCACGCGGCAGTCTTAGCTGTTAGCTGTTGCACGTATAGGCTGGCTCGAACCAGGGTGGTACCACGACCTCACAGAAGACCAGGTTAAAGTAAAAGCTCTGTTTCTGCATTTAGTTAGGTGAGTGTAGGTAGCTGGAGGCCCAATTCAACCCCCCCCCCCCCCCCTGAACATGGTAGTGGGATTTAAATAAAACACTACCCCAGGAGGGTATCAACACCCCCGGCCACGCTATCTGTGAATTTCTGCAACATCAGGGAACTTCATTCCAACCTTAACGCCTTCCACTACCATCTGGAAACTGCGAAGCCGACCTTGCTCTTTCTAACCGAGACACATGTGTCCTCTCCGGCTGATACTTCATATCTCTCCCACCTGGGGTACAAATTAAAACACTCCATTGTGCCCTGGGCTGGAGTTTGCGTGTACGTCAGAAAGTACATCTGTTTCGACGCGTCGGTAGCCTTAAAGGTACGGACCTGTTCATCTTATAGCTACGAGTAGTCGGAGACGACCATCACCGCGTCTACGGGTGCCTCTATAGGTCCCATAGCGGTAATGCCGACATAGACCAACTCATGGACCACGTCCAATGGTTACAGATTCCGTGTATTACGCCATAAGCTTGAGCTCACGCATCGACGTCCCGGGATGCAAATACCAGCGCTCTTAAAAAGAAGTGTAATTCTGCGTTTAGGTTCTTCAAAAGTGTCATTTTCAAGGCATAGTCAGAGCACATCGGCAGAATTGGCGAGAAACTAGTTCATCTTCTTTCGGGAACACGTGCATTCTGGTCTCTCACCAAGGCTGTCCATGGGAACTTCTGTCAGCCTTCTCTACCATCTCTGCACAGGGAGGACAACTCTCTGGCTCATGTCGATTGGTGACTGCCAGTACGGTTTCCTTCGTAGTCGCTTGGCTGGTGATGTTCTAAGTTACCTAACTCTTAAATGGGTAGAGGCAGAAGAGTGCAAGGGAGAGGCGTTGGCCGTTAGTTTGGACATAGCGAAGGCCTTCGATCGGGTTTGGCACAAAGCGCTTCTTACGAAGCTTCCTTCCTATGGGCTTCCCGAGAAATTGTGCTATTGGATCACCAGTTTTCTTGCAGATCGGAGCATCAAGGTCGTAGTAGATGGTGCATGCTCCGATTACAATTCCATTAACGCTGGTGTTTCACAAGGCTGCATGCTATCAGCAACGCTGTTTCTTCTGCATATCAATGATCTGTTGCAAACCAGTAACATTCATTGCTATGCGGACGACAGCACTGGTGATGTTTTATACAGCGGTCGTGCCAATATTTCTCGGGAAAACGTCGCCGAGTACCGGGACAAACTTGTATCTGAAGTCGAGACTTTGTTGAACAAAGTCTCGGACTTAGAGCGACTACATCTAGTCCAGTTTAATCCCCGATAGACACAAGTTTGCGCGTTTACCGCTAAAAGGAACCACTTCGTCGTTTTTCCTCAGTTTCAAGGCACTCCCCTTGTTGCCTCAGCCAGTATCGGAATCTTCGGCGTCGACATATCGAGTTACGTGCAGTTTCGTGGTCACTTGGAAGAGAAAGCCAAATTGACCTCTAAAAAGCTTGGCGTGCTCAGCAGGGTGGGATAGTATTTCATGCAGGCACACCGCTTGCAACATTACAAGGCGCAGGTTCGGCTTCACATGGAGTACTATTCTCATCTCTGGGCAGGGGCTCCCCAGTGCCAGATCCTTCCACTTGACCGCATCCAGCGCAGAGCGATTCAAATCGTCGACGACAGAGGCTTGACTCACTGGCACTGTAGGGGTGTTGCATCTCTTTGCGTATTTGATTGCATTTACCACTGGGATTGCTCTGAGCAATTGTTCGAACTAATACCATCCGCACAATTTCCCCATCGCACATTGCGCCAAAACTTGCTATACCATCCATATCATCTGGATGACTGACGGTCCACCACTGTGCGATTTAAAAGAAGTTTTCTTCCTCGCACAACTTCCCTGTGGAATCGACTACCACCAGAAATTTTTCCGGACCGATATGACTTAGGCTGGCAACGCATCTGCAATTCCCCTGGTTTTGCAGTTGTTCATGGGCGGCGGTAATCACTTACCATCAGGTGATTTGTATGCTCATTTGCACCCTCTCCTATAAAAAAAAAAAAACATGAAAAAAATAACAATATTTGAAGTTGCTTTGTATTTGAAACATTTTCGTGGGTGATGTCCGAGTGATGAATTATGAAACTTTTCACAGTAATTCTGTCATCCTTTATCGGTTCTTTAGAATGCAACTCATACAGATCTAGCAGAGGTAGAGAGGAACTTTACAGCTTCTTCCTAAAAATGCCAACCTCACCTGCACAATCAACCTGCTCATTAACAAAGGAGGCAGTGGGGTTAGCCGAGATGACTTTCTACAATCGTTATCGCAATAACAAGCTATAAAAATGAATGGGAACATATCTGAATGTTAAGTCACGTGACAGTTATCTGATTCGTGTTGATTTCAATCTCTGGAAACTCACAAATGCGGCTTTATCAACTGAAAATTATCGCGTTGTCAGTGTAAGGGTAGCGGCTGATTGCTTCTAGGAGCTTCAAGAAAACATGTTCTTAGCCTAAAGAGCGTTTCTTGCTCATAAAATTGCACTTATATAAATTTTATTAAAAACATAATTTCCACGAATTCACTTATCGAAATTATTACGGAAATGCATGTGTGGCCTATTTACAAAAATTGGGAAATACTCGTGACCAAAGCTGGGTCACATCACACGCTTGTCAACTCAGCGGTTTGGCTTAACGAAATGTGTATACTGCTGTTTATCGAAGATCTTTCCAACACCACCTTACGATATCGTTTGTTGAGTATAGAGAAACGGAGTCCCTTTTAACTGACATTCCATCTTAGTCCTCAGCGGTTACAACGCATTTGTATTTTTTAATTTTGCTCTGCACTCATTGTGTTATAGCCTTATTCACTTTGTCACATTTAAATGATTGCCTTTTAATTTTAAAAATCAAAAAAGTGTCATCAGTAGATAGTACTATATCATGATTATCCTCTACAAGGGTAGGTAAGTCATTAATATAGACTAGAAATAGAAATGGGCCGAAAATTGAGCCTTGAGGGACATCCGTTCGTTCGTTCGTTCGTCACCCCGACGTTTTAATGCCAGTAATGTCTATTATTATCTTCATTTTTATCATTTCAGACAGCATAATAGGTAAATACATCTTTACAGACGTTAATGAAAGGTTTGGTCCATCTGAAGTAAAAGAAGAAGCGCAATTAAACATTGAACGTCAACTCTTAGATGCTCAGAGGATAAACGGACGTTCAAAATGTAAAAAAAAACGTTGAGCAGATATCGTTGCTGTCCTGTCCTATCTGTCATAACTTTACGTACTCAAAAAGCAAACCACATCCCAGTCATGACTAATAAGCAGAGTTGCTGTAGATTTTGAGATTTTGACTAAATAAATATTCAAAATATGACATAAACTTAATGTTTGACTATACAGGGAAACTGCTACCTAAATATTCATACTAATTCTTAAGGAAAAACACTATTTAACATTATTTTAAATTTGGAAAGATATAAATCCTTTGTTCAGTACTTAAGAAATAATAGCTTTAATTTAAGAAATATAATGTAGCTTCCTGATTAATATCTCGTGGTGAACACACTCAAAGGCCTTGTAAAGATGACAAAATAACATGCACAATAAATATTTTTAATAAGCTCAACGCCCGCTACAGATGTCGAGCGACCTCTTGTAAAACCAAATTGAGTTTTACGAAGCAATTTGTTTATATTAAAAAACTTAACATCTGATCTAAAACAATTTTTCAAAAAATGTACTAAATGTTAGTGGTACAGAACTGGTCTAAAATTATATATACTATGTTTCACACCAGATTCGATGCTTGTATTAAAAATAGTGGCTAGATAAGGTGCTATTGTATATGTTATGGATGTAATTACTTTAACGAAAATACCCAATAACCCAGCCGTTTTCTTAAAATTAATATTTTTAAAACATTAACTAATATATTTTGACCATACTCTATGGAACATATTTTTTTTTACAAGCATTTTTTAAGCAATGATTTGGCGACAGTAGAAGAAGAGTTTAAATATTTTATTTTCAAAAAAGGAACATCAGTTAAACCTTTATCAAAAGCCGTAGCAACTTCTTGATCAGATTTAGTTAAGAAGTAATAATATTAATGTCCTCCAGGCCGAATTTCGATCACGGCGCCTAGCCTCAACGGAGACTAGCCATCGGCGCAAGACATAATTATAGTGCTCAAGTGTATGCGCAAGGTGCATTATCTATTCCCTCTAATGGGACGGTGAATCGAAGTGACCGGAAAGAAATTAGGCGCAGGACCAACGGCTTTACGTGCTTTCCGAGGCACGGGGGTGTGACACTGCAAACTTCCTGACTCCGGGCAAGTACTGAGAATATCTTGATGGAAAAGCTCAAGAACTGATATTTCTTTTGGCCCGACCCGGGATTCGAACCCGGGACCTCATGATCAGCAGTCGCACTACTACAACCACTAGACCAACGAGGCAGTCAATAATATTAATATATGTACTACTTACTAGAAGAGATGCCAAGACTTGGTCGTTTGCAATATGCTTTAGAGTCCATGTGCCCAAATTTACTTCGCCTGTGCCATAAAAAGGTACTCTGAGCCTCTGAATACGCGGCCCACACTGCCGCACAGATTATATTCACGGTTCTCAAGTACATATTAGTTGGATGATATATTACAGGATGCCTGGCGGAGGCACGTCCAGCGCTGGTGTTTGAGGCGTGCGGGCGCGGCTCGCTGGAGGACGTGCTGGTGGCGGACGACATCCGGCTGGACTGGACGTTCCGGCTGTCGCTGCTGACGGACTTGGTGCGCGGCATGCGCTACCTGCACGCGTCCCCGCTGCGCGCGCACGGCCGCCTCAGCTCGCGCAACTGCGCCGTCGACTCGCGCTGGGTGCTGCGCGTCTCCGATTACGGACTACCGCCCTTCGCGCAAGCCCAGGGTCTTCCGTTACCCCATCGCTCCGCTCGAGGTTCCTATCGCTGTTTTATTCATTTACGAGTTTTGCTTTTTTTACTTCTTTCAAATTCAGTGCTTATATTTAAATTTCACTTGTGGACGTAGCACGTTGTGGATATTACTTTATTGGAAATTTGACGATTTTTGCAGGAAATACCAAATATATATGGCGACCCCATTAAAATTTATTTTGACGACCACGAATTTATCTCTCTCAAAGTTAGAAAATCACTCATGATTTTCAGTTTCAGACTTGATCAATCAGATTCCATAACTTGTAACCAGTAAATCTCAGCAAATAACGAATGCAAAACCCCATTGCCTTTTTATACCACTTACCACATTACTCTAATTGCAATGCAGAGATGTGCAACTTTTTTTCTCAAATCATTATCTCTTACTTACGAGTATAACGACCTTTTCTGATATTGACATATATTTTTCTCATCTCTAATCAGTTTAAAAAAAAGATCTTACAAGCATTCATACCTTAGCATATTATGTGATAAACACAAGCTCGTAATACCAGCTACTCGAGTCCATAGAGTTGTTTTTAATTTATATATTTATGGGATTGTTTATACACTTCAACAACAAAACCCTTAAAAGTAAACAGTATGATATATAATGTCTGTTAACAAGCTTGCAATTTATAATATTGAACTAAGACTAAAAAATACATTAGGATGGAACTAAACATTGACAATGATGTAATTACTGCCAAGGTGTTTCTTAAAAATATGTAGAAATAAATCATACATTACAATCCATTTGTTTGAAAACAATGTATTTTTATCTATTTAAGGAAAACATACCGCTTTATATAGTATGTATCTGAGCAAGTAAACATTATAATATAAGTATGAGCAAGTAATTAATACATAAAGCCAATTCTTTCTCTATTAAAACATTTTTAACAAAATTCTATTGAATAGACACAGAAACTTTTATTAACGCCTTACACAATACCTACAACGTAGACAATAATTGTTAAAACAAATGCAATGATAAAAAGTAAGTACAGCATCATAGCTAATACACATTGCTTGCTTTAATTTTGGATATAAATTTAAACTTACTCTTATAAAATAGACCAATGTGTTCATACGAGTATTTTTGGAACGAAGTTCTTCATCGAACGGTACGGATTTGGCGGATAGGGTAGCCCCCTAACGACGCCAAAAAGTGTAAGATTTTTCCATCACGACCCCTTCTGACGCAGTGTAGACGGCCTCCCCGCAGTTTTTCATGACAGAAATATTATTTTATTTTAAATGAAGTTTCATTTTAATAGACGCTAGTAATTCATTTATTTCTATTTGTTAATCAATAATATAATACGTTTGTCAATAATAATATACCATGACAGGAACTTCGTTCCAACCGACAGTTCAACGACACCCACGCATGTTTTTATTGTTATATTTTGTGCGTGTTATGATTAAAAAACGATTTTTGGCATAATTGGATTTACGAAATGGAACTGCAAAGATATTTCTTGCCGAGTACGCACGAACGCGAGGTATCCTATTATCCTTATTTAACTCCAAAAGTTCCCCTGGCTTTCTTTGTGTTCCATCCCAGTAGTTTTCTTCCGAAATTTCTTGGACCAATAGTTAATTGAAAAATGTGTTTGAAGCAGAACTGCTGTGGACGGCGCCGGAGCTGCTACGCGAATCACGTGGCGCGGGCCGCGGCTCGCCCGCCGGCGACGTGTTTTCCTTCGGCATCATCATGCAGGAGGTGATCGTGCGCGGAGAGCCCTACTGCATGCTGGCACTCACACCCGACGGTCAGTACTGAGTAGCTAGTAGCCCTAACGCGATTGAAACTATATTATTAACTAGCGATCCAACCAGGATGCGCACGGATGATTTCTGGGACTCGACAACTGTGCCATCTACCGGATATATCTGTAAATCTAAACTATCCAGGCACCCACTCAAATACACACAAACAATTTCATCAAAATCAGTCCAGCCATCCTGAAGTGATAATATTTCATACATGAGGTAATTAATTTTTATTTAATATAAATAGCTTTCTTTAACGCAAACTAACGATAATACAGACAAATATAAACCTTGATTTATTTTACGTACACCTAAATCAAGAGACATGAAGCGAGAAAGAAAGTATAAAACAAGGGTTATGTTTTCCTTTATTTTTAAGTTTATCGTCATTGTGGCTGCTGATGGTTCTACTAGTCGTCGAGGATTTAGCTGAACGCATAACAATGAAATTCATCGCGCCACCAACCAGTAAGGGCAGAATAACATCTGTAGTGCCAGCTATTATTATAATATACCTTTAGATATCATTACGTTGAGTATGTAATTATAACGTTGTTTATGTCTGACATATTTAATAATAATGATAATAATAAGCGTTTATTCATTACCACCAATAAAGTTAAAATGAGTACTTACAGAAATAACAAGAATTACATAATGTAGTAATGAATGGGCTCTAACTCTAGCGTGTTTTCCATTTAAAAATTAGAACAAATGTATACTAAACAATACAAAGTCACGTTATTTTTGATAACGTGCATTAGGTATAACAACGCCTTCGGGAACTGCAATCCCCTAGGGCCGCCAGTGCTTGCATCTTCTTGGAAAGTTTGAGTGTAAGCCAGGTTTGTATGTTGTTTTTAATTTTAGGCATGATTCCAAGTTCTCATCAATAAGACGATTTCTCAGTTTACTCTTGATAATGTTCATGCTAGAAAAAGATTGTTCGCATATATATGTAGAACCGAAAAGGGAAAGAACAGCAAACACGAGCTTTTTCAGCTGATCGTAAAAGTCAGGAATACTATTCCAAGTGTTGAAAATGATCATGTCTTTCTTCTCCAGGTCATTCAAAGCAGACCACTTGTGTTATGAACTAAGATCACATTTTTTCTTCTCTAATATTTCAAATTCAACACAAAGACGTAAGGCCCATAGACGTGTACATTTATCCTTAATTAAGAATCATAATACAGATGTTTTGTCACCACTGAGGACTAATGGAATGCCTCTTTTCCAGTAAAAAGGTTTTTTGATTCTTAACATGCACCATACAAGAAACTGCAGCATTAAGCTATTTTAAGCTAGTATTTTGTGAGCGCATGGTCCCACCCTAGCCGACCCATTCGTGCTACAACCATAATATAGCTGCAGCGTAGCTCTACCAAGCTAAATATAATTGAGAGTACATTACAGAGATCGTGGAGAAGCTGTGCCGGCCGCCGCCACTGATCCGTCCATCGGTATCGATGGGCGCGGCGCCGCCCGAGGCCGTGGGCGTGATGCGCCAGTGCTGGAGCGAGGCGGCCGACCTGCGTCCCGACTTCAACCGACTCTACGACGTATTTCGCCACATGCACCGCGGCCGGTAACACTACAACATTAGTTTTCTCCTTCTCTTTCACCCTCTCTATTTCTTTCGATTTGTCGTTGGAACTTATTTTTAATGTTTTTGCAGAAAAATCAATATAGTCGACTCCATGTTCGAGATGTTGGAAAAATATAGCAATAACTTAGAAGAACTTATAAAAGAAAGAACAGAGCAATTGGATATGGAAAAGAAGAAAACCGAACAGCTTCTTAATAGAATGTTGCCAAGGTAAGTTTCTTTTATGAAAAGAAAACTACAAAATCCAGAGCGTTGATTGTCCTGGCAACTTTCATAACAAAAACTGCCTTTGACTGGAATTACGCTTGCATCATTACTATTCACAACCCATTATAAATGTAATTTAGCCCATCATAAATCAAGTTCTGAACAAGAGTCACAAAGTACGCATCTGAACCGTCATACGTTCACTTGAACAAGCAACTACTGGAAAATCTTTAGACATTTTTATTGGTTGTTAATATTTTCCCATCGCCATTTTGGATTAATAATCATTTAATAAGAGTTACATGGCGGGTACCCTCGTTACAAATTACCTTTGAGCATACAGTATCGAAGCAGATATTGCAACAACTGAAATTACTTACATTCGACAGTATAATAATATCTACTTCCAGATCAGTTGCAGAGCGGCTGATGTTGGGCTCACGCGTGGAGCCCGAGGAGTTTGAGGAGGTGTCCATCTACTTCAGTGACATCGTGGGTTTCACGGAGCTGGCAGCACGCTCCACACCCGTGCAGGTCGTGGACTTGCTGAACGACCTCTACACAACCTTCGATGCCGCCATCGAACAATACCGCGTATATAAGGTACAAATAATGCATAGGTTTGCAGTGGTTGATAAATATATTAGGACGAAGCAAGTTACTAGCATAGACCGGAAGGAATTGGGCGAGTTAGTAGTAGCTGCCCGTATACCATGGTGGACATGGACTATCCACTGTACTACTAATTGTAAAATGTACTCCTGAATACAATGTCTATTGATTAGTAAAAAATATACAGGGGGCAAACATTTATTTGCAGAGTTTTCACATAGAGTGTGCTCAAATCTGTGAACAAACGAGTATGCGAGCGACCGGTATTGTACAGTGCAAACGTGCCTTATTGGTATAATGTCCTTAACCGCGATTGCCAATCATGATGTCCAGGGTTCGAATTCCGGGTCAGGCCAAAAATTAGGTTTTTGATTTATCTGTCAAGAAATATTCTATAGCAGCCCGGAGTCGAATAAGTTCACCGGAAATCACGTAAAGCCGTCGGTCCTGCTCCTGATTTCTCACCAATCATGTCGGATGATCGTCCCATCGGACTATAATGGTACGTGTACACCAAAACCGTTTTTCTCGGCCGATGGCAGACAGAACTACCCGGACGAGTAACTCGGACGTGTATGTGCTTACACTGCAACAGTGTACCACTTGTGCCGACATTGAACGTTGCCGGTATTCTGTAGTTGACTATGTTGCTGAACAGAGTGAAGATGCATTTTCTTAAATATCTGGAACCGCTACATCCATTTCCGATCCAACTTCGGCCCATAACCGTTTTGAAAACTCGTGCTTATTCTAATTGTCTATTATATTGTCTATTATAAACACAACTAATTCATTTTTCAATATCCATAGTCGTTTAGGTAGATAACAACACTGACAGAAACAACAGAATAAAGACAGAATGATTAAATTAAACTACGAGTATAAATACACTCAATTTGCACTGTAGACGCCGGCAATCTGGCGAGAAATCCCAACAAGTTCGGACTCAATGGTTGATCGGCCGTTTTCGTGCGTTATCGGACGATGACGGTCGTATTTGTGTACGCGCTCTCTTTTTTTTTACAAGTCGTCAGTCGTCGTCGGACTAGGTGTACGCGTATTCTAAAAGTGAAAGAATAGAGCACCTGTGCTTGCACATACACTTGGGCACTATAGTCTAGTCCTGCGCAAATGGCTAGTCTCCTTAGAGACTGACCACCGTCACCGAAATTTGGTTTAGAGGATATTATTATTATAACAGTGCAAACGTACATGACAGTACAATTGTTTTATGTCTGCTGACACGCTAATATTCGCGATATCGTCCTTATGTATTATTGTGTATATATTTTATTATTGTTGACAACTGTAGCGTTAACAAAGATCTTAAGTTATAGAGTCATATGAAGATATTGTACGCATCACTTCCAGCTGTAGATCTATAATATAAAAATGAATCGCTGAATGTGTTGCTAAGCGCAAATCTCGAGAGCAGCTGAATCGATTTCGCTAATTCTTTTTTTATAATATTTCTTGAAGTACGAAGATGTTTCTTACGGAGAGAAAATTTTAAAAAATTGCCTGAAAAAGTCTAAAAACAACACTTTTCTATATTCCCATACAAAAGATTCGTAATAATACTTAAAAGTCAATTTGAACTTTAATACCATACCATAAAGTTTAAGTGTTAGTGGAGGAATTCCGGGAAGGCAAAACAATTGAGTGACGTTAGTGTCGTATAAATATTAGTGTCAATATTTGTCAATAATGTTTTATAATTTTTTTTGACATGATGTAATTGTTGACTTATCAACTTTCTTTTTTCTTTTTTTATCTTATTAGCTGACCTGGTGTCCCGAATAGCAGAATAAGTATTAAAAAAATAAAAAATCGACTGTTAGGTGGTACGAAGTTCGCCGGGTCAGCTAGTAATTTATAAAGAACAACGCCACTTTGGACTAGGAAAAAAACATAAATTGTTACCGAAATGAGACTGTCGCCAAGATTTAGAACATTGTCAATTTAATTAATGGGTAGTCAATTTAATTAATATCTTTAAAAATATAACTTATCAGAATGCAGCTTATTAAATATCTTATTATACACATCTGCATAAACAGAATATGTTAATGATTGAACAAATAAAAACCTTTAATTGCATGCCTTAAGCGCAAAGTGCGTAGGTATGTTCTACTAGCGCCTTAAAATCAAGTATCAACGTTTTATCGTATGAAAGCGTATCTAACAATCATATTGAACATATAAATCGTATAAAAAGCACATTGTCAGAAAGACAAATGATTGTAGATCTTTTTTTCTTAAATAGATAATTGCTATTTTTATATACAAAAGCGGTTTTAGTGGCATAAGGTGTGAATTTATGAAGTTCGCATGGTGGCGTAAACAAGATAACTTTTGAAAATATCAATTGTTCAACTTTTTTGAATTGAGCAATAGCGAAATTTTCGTTGTTTTGGGCAGCCTTGTATCAATTTATTGTACTAAATACACTTTGCCTCACTCCCGGCCACAGAGTACTTTTACTCCGGGCTCAGCCACCGTCGTGTGTATTCGTTTGTTTACAGCGGTTCGTGCAGAAAAATATCGATCACCGTAGAAATACAAAATATTACAAAAACCAAATTTGATACATACTTGACCAAGGTAAGATTATTATTATTTTTATAATCACTTATTTATTATGTTTATCATTTTGTTTCGCTAAAATTACGCATGATTTATATATAAATATAATCATACGTCTTGGACTTTATGCAGACCTGAAGGTGTACTTCGATATCTGCTACTGGAACTTCTCGACGAGTAGAACTAGGTGTGCCGAGATTATGCTCGTTATGTTAATTATGACGAAACCTTACCTCCGAACAGTGGCGGATTATTCTTAAGGCAAACTAGGCACGTGCATAGGGGCGCAAGGTTAAAAAGGCACGCGCGGAAGTTTTTAGTTGTGTGCGGATTGACTAGTTGTTGTGTTTGTGTAGGTGGAGACGATCGGCGACGCGTACATGGTGGTGGGCGGGCTGCCAGTGCGCGCGCACGACCATGCGGAGAGCGTGGCCACCATGGCGCTGCACCTGCTGCACCTGGCCGGCCGCTTCCGCGTGCGCCACCTGCCGGCGCAGCCGCTGCACCTGCGCATCGGCCTGCACTCCGGGCCCTGCTGCGCCGGCGTCGTCGGCCTCACCATGCCGCGCTACTGCCTCTTCGGCGACACCGTCAACACGGCCTCGCGCATGGAGTCTACCGGTCGCCGCTCCACACTTTTTGTATACAATGACACGTTCAAACGAGCACACAGTCCACCTCATAGTAGTTGGATGCTGTGGCCAAGAGATATCTACATTTACGCTGAATTAAGAGTCAAAATGAATGTGCGTTGTCACCCCTAAGAACTGAAATGCAATGCCTCGTTTCCAGTAACACTTCATATATTTCACCCTTTGTAATCGTTTTGTTTTCATGTTTACTTAATTAATCAATAGAATCAGGCATTACTTTGCGGATCGATTTCGTATTTCTATGGCTTACAAATAATTGTTCCGGGTCTGGATATTCGTCCTTATAAAATGTATGTATGTAAACTGCCCCCAGTATACAAGAGAGAATGTTAGTGTGTAGATAACGTTAAAAAAATAATGAGAAAAAATCCGCGTAATAAAGTAAAAGGATGTGTCTTACTTAGTTTAAACAGCTACCTCCCGTCCATACTCAAGTGCGTGCACTATCCCCGTCGCCACTAATCCAAGCAGCATACTCCCAATATCACTACAATAAGAAAGACACACCACCGTCCCGTCGATAATACGATACGTGTTTCGCCTTTACACGAGGCTGCGCATGTTCTAGTTCGTTACCCTCTGTGGCATCTTACGTCACCCGCGGGATGAAATGGTGTAGTGGATATTCTCATACCTACACAGTTGTAGTCTCATTAAAATTGCTTAAATAAAACTCATAACAGTTATAAATTTAGCGGACTTCATATTCTTAAAGTTAGCGTAAAGGAGATGGTTATCCAAACTTATCCGAAGCCATGAGATTTTCCTAGCATGTCCCATAGAATTTTGTACGACACGCACGGGGTGAAATCAGGAGATAGGTGCTCTTACGAAGTCACTACACAAAGTTTCATGTTATACATACATATACATATAATCACGCCTCTTTCCCGTGGGGGTAGGCAGAGACCAGTTCTTTCCACTTGCAATAAACGAGCGATTAGTCCACCATATGATAAGTGGCAAAACTGGCATCTATTTTGAATAATAAAAGTCACTCCCGAGGACTAAGATAGACTAGTAAGACGTATTTAGTATAGGTGATGAACTATGCCGTGGACCATTCGTATGAAAAGTCCAAATAAGGAGAGGTTTCGCTGCAGGCGCGGCGTGGCGCATCCAGGTGTCGGCGGCGACGGCGGCGCGGCTGGCGGCGGCGGGCGGCTACCGGCTGCGCTCGCGCGGCCTGCGCCACATCAAGGGCAAGGGCGCCATGCACACCTACTGGCTGCTGGGCAAGGACGGCTTCGACAGGCCGCTGCCCGTGCCGCCGCCACTGCAGTGAGTGCGCACCACATACGCTTCACATATGCTGCTTCCTATAATAACAAGCTGTAACACAAAAACAATTCTTTAAATCTTTTCTTAGTGGGTGTCTATTTCTAGAAAAGAGTATATGTATATGCTAAATTTCAATTTAATAAGGCGTATTGTTTTTGAGATCTTATGATGAGTGAGTATTCAGTGGTATTTTGCTTAAGAACATTAATGTCCTAGACCGAATTTCAGTCACGGCGGCCAGTCTCAATATAGACTAGCCATCTGCGTAAGACAGGATTATAGTGCCCGATAGTATGCGCAAGCACGTGTGAATCTTCTCCCTAACACCCATATTCCGATAGAACAGTAATCCGACACGACCGAGGCTCGACCAAATTGGAGATATATTGAAAATGGGCTAAATTAAGAGTACCCTTAACCGACGAGCGTGTATGCGTAGGTATATGGATGTGGAGGAGGCGAAAGAGGTGTGTCAGGATCGTGCCAAATGGAAGTCCATAGTCTCTGCCTACCCTTCTGGGTGACAGGCGTGAGTGTTTATGCATATGTATGTAGGTATGTACAACGTTTTGACTAATTTTCTTTAACTTTTACGAGGACAAAATTATCTTAAACGGTTTTTGTCGAAAAACATACGAGAAATGTCATAAGTGACAATTTATCACAGATCCGAAGAGGTTCTGTTCGAGTCAGACGGTGAGAACGATAGCGAGCGTTCTTGTGCCGAAGCTGCACCACTTCTTGACCAACCATCTGCTGTATTTACTGCTGAGGAAGACAGTATAGGTGAGATAAAAAATTCATATTTTACTATCACGTACATTCTTTTCTTTCTTTACCAGCCCGTAAAAGTTCAGTACTAGACATGAGCCTGTACCGCTGTTGGCACGATTTCTCTTGACTCAACATGGGGGACGTTTAGTAAACCGATCAGCGATCGCAGATCCAGATAACTCGCACCTTTGATACTGGTTGCTGTCACCGATCTGAGGACTTTACGTCTGGCGTTAACAAGATGATGTAACTGTCGTCTACCTGAAACCTTGTAACTTTTGGACATATCATCCAATAGTTGCCTTCTTAATCATTCAATTTCTTAATAATTCTTCATAGTTCAAGACACCCTTGGGGCGAAATGAGATCATTAATTCTCTTACGCCACCACCGCATGGCATCATGGATACAATCGTCTCTAAATTATATGAAGCTTAACCATTTATGGTGTAAGAATATTCATTTCCCCATATGACCCACGGGACCCTATGGGGTCATATGGGGAAATGAATCCCCATATCATCCCGTGGGTGTCGTGTGAAGCGACAGAGAGAAACTGAACCAGGAGATGGGCAGCAGTATCTCGAGTTGAGCAGTATCTGAGTAAAATTAAAAAAAGAAACTGCGGTTGCCAACCCGCTTGCCAGGCGATTTGCAGCAACAACTGTGGCATTTATGTTCAGCAGTGGATCTTATAGGATGTAGTCCTGGCCTATCACCAAAATCAGGAAACGGTGTAGTGACGCCTTAGGAAATTGCATCAGCTCATCTCATTGCGTAGGTGTCGTAAGAGGCAACCTAGAGTAATACCCGGAAGGTATTGTGACTTCCGATAGATGGTGGTATACTAGTATTTTTACTCGTAAATGCAGTCAAAGTTGAGTGTAGTCTGGTATGCGAGTATACACAGTGTAGGATGTGGTGGTGCACAGAGGCGGGCGGCGCGCGGGCGGGGCGCGCGGCCTGGGCGCGCTCGGGCGCCGCGTCCGCCGACAGCAGCCCGCCGCGCACCGCGCACCTCGCGCACCCTCGCTACAGGTGTGTGTCGCACTCGTACGTCTGCTGCATGCCGCGATTTAACGCCCGACAAATATAGCAATGCACAAGTTTGGCCTAACTAAGGAGCGTTCTAAATCTGATACAGGCTGTGTTTAATTCAGCACATTTACAGCGCTTGGGCGCTTGATTCACAGAATGCGATAGGTGTCATTTGTGATTTAACATAAGCCTGTCATTAAATTAGGTTTAAAGATATTTATTACTCACTAAGACAAATGCATGTCACTTCATGAGTACATAGCTGAAAGTAAATTTCACAGTCGTTCACCAAATTAAATTCACCAAAAATACGCACACTTCACCCGCGCAACGCATTCACGATTATTTAAGTCAGTCATTTGCAACAAGATATTCATACATTTGTTTCTTGAATGCGTTGAACGAGCTAACATTTTTTATGTGTGCGGGTAATTTGTTATAAAGTTGCGCTCCTTCAAATGTTAACATTGTATTACCGTAATTTGTTCGAGTCTTGGGTAAGACGAGAAAACTCGCGCGACGAGAGCAGCAGCGGTTGTAAACCTTTTTACGTTTTACGAATTGTAAGCTAGTATGAATATCATTATTTAGAACTTTTCTTATAAAAATGCAAGTATTGTATATATACATTTTTTTAATATTAAATATTTTTGTTTCATTATAGATTTTTTTGGTTTTTGTTAAAAAGTGATAATTAAAGAGCACTTTAACGAGTTTATTTTGTAAAATTTGAAGTTCACTTATCTTGTCTTTACTGCATTCCCCCAGACTTCGATGAGGTAGGTTAAATGTGGCTTTATTAGCGTGTTATATAATGTAAGACGTAATTTATTAGCAATGCATCGGACAATATGACGAAGACAACCACAAAGTGAGACCAGTTTCGTTTTTATGTGTTCGATGTGGTGCTTCCATGTTAAAATTAAAATTTTATGTCTTAATAAGCCTTCTTATGAAATTATCTTCATTTGTTTGATTTTTACTGTAGCTATAGGATCCAGAAGGTTCAAATCATAGGTGTAAATTCTTAATGTTCTGTAATAAATATGATTATACTATAGGGATCCATAGTTGATCCATTATTGTTTCTTACTGTAACGTCCCCCCCCCCCTCCATGCCCGCCTTTTCTATATCTATAAAATATATAAAACCACCATCATGTTCACATCAGTCAATTCCTTATTAATTATTCCCTTCCCGCTTGGAAAAGACTCACAATATTTATATAAATTACCCGATACAAGTGATCAAGTATAAATTACCAGATACCCGTGTAGTGGCGGGTGAGAATACCCAGTACCCCATATCTTTTCGTGGGTGTCGTAGGACGCGACAGAGGGAAACTGAGACAGAAGATGAGCAGCAGCATCTTTCTGATAACAGCTAAACAACAATAAAAAACTGCGGCAGCTAACCCGCTCGCCAAACGTGGCAGCTATGGCACTATACTATATATTATGGTCAATAAGGACGATAGCTGCCACATACCTGTGAATAGGTGCTGCTTGTCTGTCCGGGTTCATTTCATTTCAATATGTAACTCAACTTTTAAGTGGACATTTATTCTTGTACAAATGTTTAGAAATAAATATAGAAACACTCACTCGTTCTACCGGTGTCCAAAATAACGCTTTAGCGGTTGGACATGCAGAAAAGTAATTCTCAGCTAGATCTAAGAGTTATTGTTATTGCACAAATACTGATTCGACTAGCATTCGCACTTTCAATTTCTTATGACCCATGGTTATTCAACCGGGGTCAACTATGAAATTAGGCGGAAAAGAGAAAACGGGTGATGTTATTCATTTCACTAAAATATGGATACCTGTGTGATAATTGAAACGTTTGCGGCAGGTGCCTGGCGGGCAGCACGCGCTCTCTTCGCCGCCAGTGGTCGCTGGAACGCGGCGACGTGTTGGCGGCTGCGGCGGCGGCTGCGGCAGACGCGGGGGATGCGGGGCATGTGGGGGGCGCGGGGCAGGTGGTGGGCGAGCCGCTGGCACTGCGCGTACCTCCGCCCCGCGCGCCCCTAGCCCGCTATCGCACGCGCCCTGAGCCGCCGCTGCCAGAAGACGCACGGGTCTCCTAATCTCCCCTCGCCCCTTCCTTCCGACAATAATTTTCGTAGTTGTATCTCCCCTCCGGCGAACATCACATTGCAAGCTCGCTCGGAACTCTTTAGAGCGTTTGGTTGTAGTTATCGTGAGTATTATTGTGATCAATTAGATTTAGTGGTAGCCCTCGTCGAATTATTTTTATTACGAGCACCTTCGATTGGATATTTACCGGGTGTTTTATGTATTTTTTAAACTTTTCACTTTCAATAAATATGTTTTTTCATAAAACTGGTATTTTATTTCTACTCCTATTAAACTAATCATTAACTGATCGAAACAAGTCTTAGAAAAGTAAAAATAACTTAGCTACGCTTGCCAAAGAGTTGATGAAAATTGTCATTTTTTTCTTAACTATAAGATTACATCGAAACAACAGCATAACAGTGCTGTGATTTATAAATTGAGTTACAACCTGGACACCCAAATTTTATAATAAATTATATAATAAGTCTTAAACAATTTTGACAACGCCATAATGAATCGGCCTGGTAGCAGCGTGTTACAAATTTTTCAAACCATTGATTTTCCTCCGCTTTGCTCCTGTTTTCCTCATGATTATTTATTAAAATTATTTACGCGATTTAGGATATTTTCAACGATAAGACTTAATAACCGAGAATTCAGAGAAAGAAAAAAATGTATAAATCATTTTATAAAACTCAAACATATATGATTGACAAATAAAATATATGGTCAGTTCGCAAGATTAGTTTTATTACAATAATCATCATGGGTACAACCCTAGCACATTCGTGCGATGACGCGCTTGCACGTGAGGCGCACGGCGGTCAACACAATCTCGACTCTTTACGCGCCTACTTATGGTTCATTTTCTTCTCGCTGCGAACAGCAGACATTATTATTAAGATTTTGTAGGCTATTATAGCGTAGGTATTTTCGCTTTTGTATGGGAGTGATGTATCTGTTTAGTAAACTATTAAGTAATCTATGGTAAGGCGTAAGCGTAATGACGTCAGGATATATGGTGAAGCTTCAACTTAACACTGTCACAACTCAATAAAAGCTCGGAATTGAAAATATACACATCAACAGAATCTAGGGATAACTTAATCCTAAATTATTTAACACTTTATAGTTTAAAATCATTTAAGTTTCCATAAAAAGTTTATACAACACGTAACAGTGGTAGAGCCACGCAGCAAAATTGCTGTCGCACGGATGGGCCAGCTCGAACCGGGGTGGTACCACGACCTCACAGAATACCAGCGTGAAGTAGAGGTTTACTTCTGCGTTTCGCATGGTGAGTGCAGGTGGCCGGATGCCCTTTTTACTGGAAATGAGGCATTCCATCTTACTCCTCACGGGTGACAACGCATCTGCATTTTGATTCGCCAACGAGGATAGATGTAGATGTCTATGGGCCGCAGAAACCACTTTCCATCAGGTGGACTGTGTGCTCGTTTGTCACCCTTACCCTATAAAAGGAGAACATAATTAGCGCACTTTGAGAAAGTAGTTTGTTCAGAATCGTTTACTGAATCGATCTCTATCATTTTTAATATAGGTAATTTTTTATCCCAAAAATAATTGAAACTACGTAATTTATAGTTACACTAAACCTGTACAGTCAAAACAAACTGAAATGGACCGTAACTCAGGGAATAAGACTTTTAAAAGTGCAGTTTTATTTGTATTAATACAAATTCCGTCATTCAATACAAAATAAAGAAAATTGAACCTTATTTCAAGTATGTTAAAGTCTTTACAAATACAGAGTTGAGTGCCTTATAAAGGTCGCGGCGGCCAGGTCATTGACCTCCTAGATCACCCAATTTGACGCCTCTTGACTTTTTTATGGCGACGTATTAAATAATTAGTTGATTTTAGTGACACAACAAGTGCCGAGGACCTAAAACTAGTAATTCTATGAGTGAACGATTTTAGAATAGTGAAAAATGTAAATAAATTATTTTCTTTCTTTTTTTTGATTTTCTCTTGAATTGTGGGGACAAACATCCAGACCCGGAACAATTATTTGAAGGCCATACAAATATTGTTCCGTGCGGCATTCGAACTCGCGGTCCTTAGCGCTGCAACTCATTTGCTAAGCCACTGCGCCACGGAGCCATGGTGGACATTTTGAAAATGTATTGAAATACAACGTTGCACGAGAGTTTAGGCTATTAGTAAGTTAAATATTTGATTCTGAAAATTATTGTAATCGTGGTTCACATCTTTTAAACACGCCGCCTTTGAATTCTGTTGTCGTATTGCATTTTAGTTTCAGCAGTTCATTATTATTTACAATTACAATTAAAATGTTATGCAAATTCATAAAATTTTGTAACGAGTATTGCCTATTGACATAGTATCAATCAATCAATCAATCAATAAACAAAATTATTCAGAGTCGAAAGTCAAATGCTTGAAAAGTGTGATTGAAAGATGCAATCAAATGTTTACTAGACTTAAATAAACAACTCAATGCACGAAGTTCTGACATCTGTTAATGTTCATAGGTAGGTATTTTTTAACGTCACCAATCATGTATTGTCGGATTTTATTTAGGCTAGCAAGATCTATACCTAGCTTTCGTGGTTTTGTACGGTGACCACAAACTTCTTCACCTTAACCTTCAACACGTAACATAATTAACGCACATCCTGAAAGTTGTTTGTTCAGAATCGTTTACTAAATCTATTTCTATCATATTTCTATTTTTAATATAGGCAAATAATTAAATCTGCATAAATTACATTCACACTAAACATATACAGCCCAAACAAACTGAAATGAACCGTAACTCAAGACAATAAGACTTTTAAAAGTGCAGTTTTATTTCATCATCATCATCATCATTACAGCCTTTCATAAGTCCACTGCTGAACATAGGCCTTCCCCAAGGAATGCCACAAAGCACGGTCCTGAGCCACCTGCATCCATCGACTTCCTGCATGTCTTACCAGATCGTCACTCTATCTCGTGGGGGGTCATCCTACACTTCGCACACTGGCAACACGCACTGGTTGTACAATTTCGTTTTAAGGTTTTGAGGTATGTCTGACGAGAAGATGTGTCGTAGCTTCCCGAACGCCGCCCAGCCGAGTTGAATCCGTAGATTGACCTCTCGGTCGAAGTTGTACTTACCTAGTCGGACTATTTGTCCCAGGTAAACATACTCGTCAACAACTTCGGTAGTTGTTGGGAGCTTATTGCTCCCAACAACTACCGGCATAGGTGTGACATAGACATTAAACATAATCTTTGTTTTGCCAATGTTCATCCTAAGACCAATTCGTAAGGACTATATCGTCGGCAAATCGAATGTGAGTGATGTACTCGCCATTGATGTTGATACCGTATCCTTTCCAGTCCAGAAGCTTGAAAACGTCTTCCATTGCAGCGGTGAAGAGTTTCGGGGATATAACGTCACCCTGTCTTATACCTCTCTGCAATTGGATAGGTTTCGTACTCTAGTTTTGTACTCGGATAGCCATCGTAGCCCTACTGTACAAGCACTTCAGCACTTCGATATACCGACAGTCAACTTGGCACCGCTGAAGAGACTCCAGCACCGCCCGAATTTCGACGGAATCAAAGGCTTTCTCATAGTCCACATACGCCAGGCATAGTGGCAAATCGTACTCCTCGAACTTCTGTACAACTTGCAGAAGGGTATGTATGTGGTCTATGGTTCTAAAGCCGGCAACCGGAAACGGAAACCGGCTTGTTCGGGAGGCTGGAAGTCGTCAAGTCTGCGTGCGAGACGATTCGTAATGACTCTCGAAAACAGCACGTAGACGCGGCTCAGAAGGGAAACCGGTCTGTAGTTCTTCAAGAGAGCATTGTCACTTTTCTTGAAGAACAAGATCACCGCACTTCTGCTCCACGCCCCCGGTGTAATACCACCATGGAGGACGGAATTAAAGAGCCTCTGAAGGACTTCCAGTACCGGTTTTCCACCCGCTTTCAGAAGCTCCGCTGTAATTCCATCCTCGCCTGGGAACTTGCCGTTTTTAAGATGCTGGAGAGCCATTCTAATCTCGCTCAAACTGACGTCCGGGATATCTTCGGAATAGTGTCGGATAAGACTCGCTCTTAGATCGTTACTCACACTTGCGTGTGGCTCCAACAATGACGTGTCCATAGAACCTCTCAGTCTCATCAAAAAATCTCAGTTGCCCCGGAAACAATGCTGCCACACTCGGTCTTCAGCTTTGACAGTTGGCTCTTTCTGGCAGACAGATCTCTGGCAAAGACTTTGAAGTCTTGGTTCCGCTCGATTGCTTCTTCAATATAAGCTGTATTGAAGTTGCGTAAGTCACGCCGCATGCATTTGGAGATCTGTCTGTTCAGTTGCCTGTATGCTGTCAAATCTGTTGAAGAATGTAGCTTCATCTCCCGTCTAACAGCCGTGAGCTTAAGAGTGTGATCGGAGAGTTTTTGTGTTCTTCTGCGGCGGTTCTTGCAGAACTTAGCTCCGACCGCATGGACAGTTTTCACGAGCTTATCATTCATATCGTTCACTTCATTGCAGTCTTCTAGGCACTGGAAACGGTTTTGTAACTCGAGCCGAAAGGTTTCAGGACTTTGGAACAGAGCACGAGGGGGACGGAGCGTTGACTTCATTAGACGAGACCTCTCCAACTTAACGATTAGGTTCAGTGTGCCCCTTACCATTCGGTGATCGCTACCAGTTTTCACCCTCGCGATCACGGAGACATCACTGAAAAGTTATCGTCTGGTCGTCATGAAGTCAATCTCATTTTTTGTGGAACCGTCGGGGCTCGACAAGGTCCACTTCCTGTGGGGCCGCTTCTTGAAGAAAGAGTTCATCATAAAGAGTCCCTCTTTTTCCATGAAGTCGGCCAGCTGCTGGCCCCTTGGGTTCCGTTGCCCTATTCCAAATTTCCCTACTTTCAGCTCACCGTTCTCTCTTGTGCCTAGTTTTGCATTGAAGTCTCACATTAACACCGTATATTGGGTTTTGGAGGAATGCATGGCTCTAGAG